GATCCCCACGAGCTCATTCTCCTCCGTGCCTCAGCAGCGGTGGGTCCTGGATCGCGGGAAGCAGATGGCTGCCCCTCTTTCCTCGAAAAGAGAGACAAACGAGAGCGAAGATTTTTTCCTTGGAAAAAACGCTCGCAGTGCACGGCGATTGCCCCCTCAGAGACATCACGTGCGTGCTCTTTGCCCAAACAAAACAATGCATAGATCGTGTGTGTCATCAGATGTTAAACAACGTCAACATGGATGCACACATCCTTAAATGCTTTGCTAGTGCTCGCCATAATGAGATAAATAGAGAACAGAAATGCACGCTTACCACAGAAATGCACGCTTCAAACAAAACAGTCAATGAAGACGAAGAAGAGAATGATGTGTAGCTCCCGGCACTTATTTATACTATAATCGCACCGGTAGTGACGTCATGGCTGTCGCCGGCCAACGAGTTGGTGTTTTTTCAATGTATGCTTCAGACACGGGTCACGACGAGGCGTTCCCCATAGCGACCCCTAGAGGACGCAGTTCGAAGTTCCCATGAAAGGGAACCTTTAATGCACGGCTAGCCGTTGATTATCCCTTACTTATTGCAGCTAAGAGAAGATTAGCTCTCACTGTAGACGCTTTCAGTGGTGAACAGGGGTCATCACAAACTGTGATGCACTGTGTGTTCTGACACTTTTCTGTCATGGCCAGCATTAAGTTTTTCATTAATTTGAGCTAAAATAGTTCTTCTGTGAGACTGGACCATACAGGTTAACTCCCCACATGCTTCAATGAGTCTTGGGTGCCCATGTTCCTGATACTGGTTGTACTTGCTAGCACCAGTTTTGGTAGATGCTAACCACTGCAATCTGTGAACACCCCACAAGCCTTGGCTTTTTTAGGATGCTCTGACCCAGTCATCTAGCCATCACTATTTGGCCCTTGTCAAAGTCACTCAGATCTTTTAGCTTGAAGAACTGAATGTTCATTCGCTGCCTAATATATCCCACACCTTGACAGATGCCATTGTAATGATATAATCATTTGGCCAAATAGATATAGATAACTTCAAAGACCAAGGGACTACAGATGAAAATTAGCCAGTTTGGCTAGATCTGACACATGTCATGTATTTTTTATGTGTATTTACCCTCATTAAGTAAATAAATAAACAAAAAAACATTTGATTTAGCTCAATGTGAACTGAAATGGCTTAGAGCTTCTTAATCAAGTGCAGTTACAGGTCAAGGACAAGTCTGTCAGTAAATATTGTGAAGGTGTGAGTCAATGAATGGATGCCTTCTAATGCTTCTGTGTCATTATAATGCAATAATGTTTTCATTTCACTTCGTAGAAGATGTGAATGACGTTGTGAAATATGCCTTTATTAATGCCCATAAAAGATACAGGCTGTATTTTCTGTAAAGCTTATCTACATAGATAAGCTTCATAGATGAAGAGCATAAAGTAAATACGTTTATTACTAACAGAAGCTCAGAACATAAATGTGGGGAAAGATATATGTATTTTGTGTGAGTATTCTGCAGTTGGATAGGACCTTGTTTTAAAGGGGTCATATGATGCTACTAAAAATAACATTATTTTGTGTATTTGGTGTAATTAAATGTGTTTATGCGGTTTAAGGAAAAAACACATTATTTTCCACATACTGTACATTATTGTTTCTCCTCTATGCTCCGCCTTTCTGAAACGCGTCGATTTTTACAAAGCTCATCGGTCTGAAAAGCGAGGTGTGCTCTGATTGGCCAGCTATCCAGTGCGTTGTGATTGGCCGAATACCTCAAGCTGTGATGGAAATGTTATGCCCCTTACCATACAGTGATGCCCTGTCCGAGACAAAAACATTCAAACCCATTATAAACGAGGCATTTGTTGCATCCAGTGGGGACATGATTACGGATTATAATGACTTATACTGTCTTTTTACGCATTGCATTGCATTGCGCCGCGTAAACATAAAACCATGTCTGCATTTGTGATCGGAGAAATGACAAACAAGCGCTAATCTACACTGCTTAAAACTCACAGTTGATTCGTCAGTGGCAAATCCTTTAAATATAAAAAACTTACTTACAGTCTGTGAGTCAGAACAGCCGGCATTGTAGTCTACTCTGTCAGGAAACAGTCCTCCATAAAATGCGCTG